ATATCTTCCTGCTATAACTGAATTTAAAACAATCGGCAAATCTTTGTTCTCTTCAAAACCAGTCCTGCAGTAAATATAGTACCATATGTTCATAAGTTTTTCATGTATGACACATAAAAATTACAACGGAGATAGTTTTGCAATCTCAAGACCTGTTTTTGCGATGTATAATTCTCAATTCAAAAATGTCAAATTCATCCTCATGAGCAGTATAGAGCTGAAGATCATCTTCAGGACCGTCTTCCTCACCTTCAACATCAGCTGCTCTAGAATTTAGAAATTCTCTATCAGCTTTTGCAAAAGGCCCAAATTCATAGTCATCGTTTGCATCTATCTGAGGATATTTCTCTGTAACCAAATGTGCACCACATTGTCTATCCAAATCTTCGTTATTTGCATTAGATATACAATTTTTTTTAACATTCTTTTTATCCCTGGAAGCAATGCCATTATCTGCATGCACAAGACATACAATTCAATGATGATAGGTTAAGAAAAAGAAATATTAATACTAAGCACCAAAATGTCATATGGTTTTTCAACATAAACATTAGGAATCATCAAGGTCACATAGAAAGAAATAAAAAAACATTAAACGGAGTTCAAAGTTCAAACGTGAAATTGAGTGAGCAAATCGTAAAAACTTAATCATAACCAGCATAGAATCGAGATAAATTCTAAAATGTGAACAGAACCAAGCAGCAATCTCATTCCTCAAATAACAAACTTGTTATCTATCTCTGAGTATAATAAAAGAAGAAATGCAAAATCAAGAGACATGTAGTGCAATGGTTAACTCAAGCTTTGTGCAATGGAAGAAACTAAAACAGACTCTAACTATACTCGAGGAAAAAGGGGATGAGTTATATGATAAAGTAATAATATCAGTTATATAGACAAGCAAAGACTCACTTGTGCAAGCACTGCTTTCAACTGAATATGGTCCATTTGTCTGAGGTTTCTTCTCCACTGGACCATCCTTGCTGCTTTTTTCTGTCCTCTGACTCTGTTCATAGAGTGAATTGCTCTTCCACACGACAGATTCTGGGCATTCGTTTACCTTCTTCAACTGAAATTCGTCCTCCTCAAATTCGTCCAATATCTCAGTTTCATCAGCCATTATCTGATACCGTCCATAAATTGATGAGTTTGAGCTCAATATTTTATTCCTCTCCACAACCTTTCCATTGCAGCAATCACAGATCTATAAATTTCAGGTTTATCAGTAACAGCAGGATTTGTGCTCTCTTGCCTGAAATTTTCCTCAGCCTCAATAGACATAACAAACTTGTCCTCACTGTGAAAGCTACTGGAGTTTGTTGCTGGTTCAAAGAATGGATTGTTGAGGTAACCTCCATACTGGTCATCATACCAGCAGGAGTCTCCAAATATATTGGGGTTGTTGTACTCCCGAGCAGTTTCAAAATCTGATAATCTAGCTGAAGAGTCCTCAGATTTCGGTCTAGCCGGAGACCAAACTATATAAGGATTGAATAGTTCTGCCAGTTAAAGATTAAGACTTGGTAAGATTCCAGTCAGAACATTAAGATGAATAAGAAATTGAAAATTAAAATCATTTTATCTCTGATAGAATGAGAAAGAAGAAAGAGTTGAACATTTGAGAACTATTGCAAAGGTTGATTGATGTACACTGGCTAATAGTCCATAAGTTTGAAAGTCTGAACTTCTAGATGAAAGTGGTTATCTAACATGCATCATGCCTAAAGGTTTCAGATGTCTTAGGTTCAGACTCGGCAATTCTTAATTAAAAAGTACTAGTGTTGCCCGATTTCATCTGCCCAGAGTTACCTTTACTTGCAAGAACTATCACATGGACATGAAATAAAGCATTAAGCCCACTTGCTTGATATATCTATCGGTTACCTTGAAGCATAAGTTTGAGCATAGCAATTATCAGCAAGCATAAGCATCAGGTTGATATCTCTATTAGTGGCTAAACTTGTTGATTACCAAGAAATTTTAAAACTTTTAACTTAACCTGGAGTAGTAACCCATAGTTGATTACCATAGTTAGTCTCATCCTTACCATCTCACAATTAGATCAAGCCAACATCAACAGTACTCTATGTTGGAGTCTAATACAATGAAAGAGAAGTTAGATTGGCTATTTGGGTTGAAATACATGGGGATTAAGGTGAGAGGGACCAAAAAAATCCCATTTAAACAACCCAGTGGTAAGTGCATTTGTTCTTTTATTGTATGATAATAAAAAAATTTAAGTAAGGTGGGGGGAAATATTTGTTGCAAATGTTAAAATGAGCCAAAAAAAAAACCCCGACAATAACACCAGAAACAAACTATCAATTAAAAACAGCAAAGAAGAAATAAATCACATGCACATCTTTTCCCAAAATGTGCACTTTTCTTTATTACCAATAAAAGAGGGCTAAAAAAAGCATCATCTTATTTTAAAGTGGAAACTAATCTTCCAATTTGCTGATTTCACAAAGAAAATAGGCTAAAATTCAACACTCTTCTATTGCTATTTGCTTGCACGGAATCTAGTTGAGTAAGAAACAGGAAACCTTAGTTCTTTACAGAATTCTCCCCAATAGCTTACGCGCAGAATTTTCGAGTTCATCTCTCAATTAATAAGCAAATAATATCAATAAATAAATCGATCTAAAACTCAGTAACTATCACCAAATTCGCTAATATCATTAAGGGTTCACAATAACTAATCCGGTTACTACAAGACATCAGAACGAATTTAATGGCACTCAAATTAAATAACTTACATGCAAGTATTGATCTTTCAATCTGCAATGATACTCACAAATCGACCTAAAACTCCACAAATCTCACAAAATCCCGTAATATTAGAAACAATTCACAATAGCTAATCGAGCTCCTGCGGCACGTCAGAACGATACTAATGGCATTCAAACTCAAGAAAAAAAAGTCAAAATTCGATCAAATTACCAGAAGGCGAAGACCCCATGCTAACGAAATCCTCCTCCGACGAGCTCGATGCATCGGCGGAGCTCCGGGGCCGTATCCTCACCGGAGGAGGCGGAGGAGGACCCGATCCGTCGACCCCCATGGCGATGACGTCATCTCGAAGGGCGGAGGCGGCACGTGCGAAGCCGTGGGAGGTGAGGAAGTCGAGGACTTCCTGCACGTGCAGCGACGGCGGCGACGGCGTCATTGGGGTTTGGAGGTGAGAGTACCGGCGGAGGAGCGGATCCCGCTGGGGGTTTAAGAATGGGGGGCGTCATTTGCTTTGAGGGGGTGGGATCGGGTGCTTCGCTGTGAAAAGGGGGAAGGAGAAAAAAGGCGAGTAATCTTACCTACTTTGTACAGGGAATGTGTGGGGCCCAATGCTCAGTGAACGTTGCGGATCACGTGGGAGTTGGTTTGCTGTCTAGTCTTGCGCGCTCTGTGTCTGAACGTACTCTAGCTTGTTTTTTTTGCAGATAAGGGCTTTACTAACTTTTTAATTGCATGTCCACATTGTTCGTCGTTCTAGCACCTTTTAGTAACAGACCTAAGAGTAAAGGGCTAAAATGATTCATTAGTTTTTGCTATTTTATTATTAAGCTAAATATCAGAAATCTTTCTTAACATCAGACAATTATCAGATAAATTCCCATAACTTTCATCATATCAGCAAATCTCCTTTAAGTTTAAAATTTTATCAGGAAACCTCCTAGATAGTGTTAATATTAATTTCTAATGGAAAAAAAATCCCTCTATATAATTTTACTCAACTATGTGAAATTTTTGAGTTTCTAATATTTAGACTATTAGGATGATTTTCTGATAAAATCTTAAACGTAAAAGGAGTTGTAAGTGGCCGTTTTGAGTAAGGAGATACGCATTATAATGATCGGTCTGTGAAATTAAGAAGGTATATAGAAATTTTACTATAAAATAAAAAAGAAAAAGGAGGATCACCCGTATAAAAGAAATATAAGTAATTATTCTTGTTACTTCTATGATCAAAACATTCATCTATATAAACTTTAGTAGTATGATACTAAATTTGTAGTGCTAATTTTACTAGGGTATTTTTAATTTAAGAGATCGTTCGAGTTGAGGAGGGAAAAAAGAAAAAGGGAAAAAAGAAAAAGGGGAAAAGATATATAACGATATGTAAAGTTGGGGGATGCAAACTGCGATACCTTTAAACAAAGATGGGTCATTTGCACTTTTAATACGCCCGCTGTTTAGAATTCGCAGACGTTACGGGGCCCGTTAGCAATGAATGGGTGCTTTTTTTGGGGGTCCAAAACTATACGGTTTCTTGATTTCTTCGGATCTTTTTGTCGGGTAGGGCGTCAGTCAAGCGGTTGTTAGCCTAACCTTCCGAGTGCGATCACCGGCCGGTGAGAGAGACGATTATAACGTACAACTAAAATAGTAGCTAGTCCTAATGTCAGCGGATTAAAAAAATAATTAGAGGATTTGGCAAAATTTGTTGTTTTCTTAGCTAGTGGATCAAAGAATGTCTATTTTTACTTAATACGATTAAGGGGGCTGTTTGGCTGTTTTCCGAAAAAATCGGAAATGGAAAACTCACATTTCAACTCATTTTAAGGGATTTCAAGATATTTCCCGTATTTCTTTTTTTTTTTGTTTGTTTGTTTCGCAATGAAATCACCGTCACGTCACCTTTACGTCATATAAGAAACAAATCCAGACGTAATAGTAACACTGTTTCGATTTTCATTTTTTTTGTTGTTGTTTGAACATAAAAAAGAAAATGGAAATCAGTTGCAATAGTAACAATGTTTTTAGCAATTAAATAATCTGTTTTATTCACAGGTATTATTTTAACAGTGCTTTTAGTAATTAAAAATTCATTGAAGTGACATTTCTAAGTGTTTTCAGAGGTTTTGGTGTGAAAATACTTTTCTCAAAAATTTGACGTGACATCCTACGTAGCACACTCATTTTTTTAAATCACAAAAGGAAACAAACATTTGATTTGGAAATCGGTTGAAACCAAAATCCTACGTGGCAGGGGAAAATTTCTTAAAATCTGACGTGGCAGGGTTTTTTCTCAATTTTTTTAGCAAACAAACAGCCCCTTAGTGCAATCTAGACTAGTTAGGGGATTTTGAGGATGTGTCCAAATCCAATGTAATTAATAAAAGCTGGATTATTAAAATTGCATGGAAGGATGATTTCCTCAAAAGATGCCTAACTTTTATCCCCTTTTTCCTCGATGATAAAGTGATTAAGTTAGTTTTTAATTTTAACAAAGCATGGCTTAAGATATGGTACATTGATATAGATATTTACAAGCTAAAGCAAATCATGAGAGTATCTGAGTATGCCAAAGGGCTGAGGGGCAAAAAGGGCAAAAAAAAGGGGGGAAAGTGATACGGTATTGGCTCTTAACTACGGGAGACGACATAGCCAGCTAAAAACACATGCAAAATGGCGGCACAAAATAATGAGAGGTGCACGGGTGTTGGGTTTTGACCGTATAATATTAGCGTGCACTATATAGCAAAGAGCTTTGGATATAAAATAAGGACAAATTTTCAAAACTTTTGTCAAATTTTTTTTAAAAAAAATCCGTTTCAAATTTAATTTTTAAAAACCGATATAGTTGAGCTGAAACTGAATCGGTTTTTTTAAAAAAAAATTCTAAACTTCACGGGAGTTAAAGTCCCGTAAAGTTTTATTATATAAAAAACTTCATAGAACTTCAACTCTCATGAAATTTGAGATTTTTTTTTAAAACAGCACAGTTTCAGCCAATTTGATTTTTTTAAATTAAGTTTAAAATAAGTTTTTTTTAACAATAAAATTCAAAACAGTTAGATTTTTAAAATTTGTCCTATAGAATAATGCTATTGTCCTCGATGCATGCGAACATTAATGCACATGCATGATGACAAACTTTTACGAGATTGCAAAGTATATTGTATTCCTTGGATACTGTACTGCAATATTGGTTACGTCTGTGCGTGCTTCAGCCCAAGCCCATACGAGGCCTATGTTTCTAAATACTGTTGGGCCGAATTCCACTTCTACTGGGCTGAGCCCATGCCATTGAGCAGGCCATGAAAGAATTTGGTTATGACACGGGGTTTTCCTCCATTTTCTAGTTTAAACCAGAGTCAAGAAACCAACCCACGTAACAAGCGCTTTTGCCAACCGAAAGGAAAAAGGTACTCCTATCCATAAAATAGCTAATTGCCGATGTACCTAAAAATAGGGAAAATCCGATGGTGAGGGTAATATATAGAAGATAATATGAGGAACAACAAATTAGTTATTTATTTTGAATAAGCGCAATCAATATGCGAAACCAATACACATAATTAAACTATCGATACAAATTACCTATCGAATCGACAGGCCGTCTGTACAATCATCAACTTTAAAACTGGTAGCAAGGCATGCAACTCTATAAAGGCCTTAAGAAGCCCATGACAACTTGGGAAAGCAGCGAGCATTAAAAAGCAAAAGAAATTAAAAAGGCAAGTCTATTTTAAACGGCCTGTGTGTAAGTGTGTAACCCATGGCCCATGAAAATGCATCCCGTGAAGCCCAGTCCGCTAGAATAAAAGGAACATGAAAATCCAAGATCCAGAAACGAAAAGCAACGCTAATAACGACATATCTCTTTCTCTCTCTCTAAAAGCTTTCCAAGCTCTGAACTTTCTCTCTCCTCGATCTCCGGCCATGGAGATGCCGTCGATCTCCTCCGCCCCTCGCACCGTCGAAGACATATTCAAGGACTACAGCGGCCGCCGCAACGGCATCGTCCGAGCCCTAACTAACGGTAACCAACATCAGATACAGATCTCTTCTCCTTTCTTTCCTTTTTTAGTATTAAATCCCCGATTTCTAACCCTAGTCCCCAATTTCCTACTTCAGAGGTGGAGGAATTCTATGCTCTCTGCGATCCAGGTGAATCCTCCGTCTCTGCTGTCATATTTCGATGCAATAACTAGGTTTTTCTTTGATTGACTTGATTGTGGGTTTGTGGATCTTGTTGAAGATAAGGAGAATCTTTGCTTGTACGGACACCCGAACAACACGTGGGAGGTGACGCTGCCGGCGGAGGGAGCTGCCGGAGCCGGCGCTGGGGATCAATTTTGCGAGGGATGGGATGAACCGGAGGGATTGGCTCTCGCTGGTCGCCGTCCACAGCGACTCGTGGCTCTTGTCCGTGGCGTTCTACTTGGGGGCCAGGTTCAATGGCAATGAGAGGTAATGCTGCTCAGCTGTTTTTGTTTAGAAATTTAAGTGATTCTATGAGTTGATTGAAGTGGGTTCAGAAAGCTCGTAACTTGTCGTGGAAAGCTTCTGTTGTTTGATGCTTTAATGACACTGCATGTTGTTGGTTACTTGGATTTGCTAGAATTCTCCACATTAGGAGTCTTTTTCCAATGTATGCCCCCATTGAGTCGGGGACATGGATCTCGAAACATTATCAGGCTAAAAAATGTTACATTTTTCTGTATTCGTGGTCAGTATCTGTTAAGTTGATTGACATGGGTTTGGAAAGTCTAGTCACTTGTGGTGTCTAAAATATTATCTTTGTTTATGGAGGGAAAAAGCCATAACTTGTCATGGAGCAGTTTTGTTGCGGACAAATTTTCAAAATAGATCCCTTTAGGACTTTATTTTCAAAAAATGACCCATTTAAAATTTATTTGTCATTTTCGATCCAGTTTCAGAGCCACCTGGCTGAAACTGGGTCGAAAATGACAAATAAATTTTGAAAACTTCACATGATTTAAAATCCTGTGAAGTCTAGTGCCTGATTAACCACGCTAATGAAGCTACAAAAGTTTAAAAACTTCACGGGATTTAAAATTCCGTGAAGTGTAGTGTCTGATTAACCACGCTAAACTTCACGAGTTAATCAGACACTTTCAAACTTTATTTATTTGCCATTTTCGACCTGGTTTTAGCCAGGTTGCTGAAACCAGGTCGAAAATGATAAATAAATTTCCAAGGGGTCGATTTTTGAAAATAAATTCCTAAAGGGGTCTATTTTGAAAACTTTTCCTTTTGTTGCTTGATTTGTAAATGCCACTGTATGTTGGTTTCTGTTCGACTGTTCGTAGTGACTTGTGGCTCGTCTACTTGAGTGCCAGGTTCAATGGGAAGAGAGGTCATGCTGCTCTAATTTTGAAAGAAGTTGGTTTAGAAAATTCTATGGGTCTGGAAAGGTTTCTGTTTTTGTATGGAAAGGGAAGGCTCGTAACTTCTTGTGGATCAGTTTGTAGCTTGGTGCGTAAATGCCATTACATGTTATATAATGGCATTTAAGCACCAAGCTACAAACTGTTGTGCACAGTTATTTGTTAAGATGACAAAAGATGGTTTAGAAAGTTTTGTGAGATCCAGAAACAATTCTGTTCCGTTATGGAAGGGGAGAGCTCGTAATCTGTTGTTGAACAATTTGTTTTTTATGCTTAAATTTCATTTCATGTTGGTTTATTTGGAGTTGTTGGAATTCTCCACATTAGAACCTTCTTCCCATTCATGTTTGCATTGAAATGGGGACATGGATTTAGATAAAGGAATAGGTGTTAAAGTGATACAGTATAATGCATATCAATGTTCTTGGCATTTAAAGTGATCTAAATTTCAGGCTCCATCTCTAAAAGTGTTCTTTATTTTAAAGTGCAGTAGTGTGTATGTGCGACCGTTTAATTTCGAACAAAATTTCAAAGCTCTCCTACTTCCTAAGTTATTATAAGTTGGAAGCTGTTATTTTACCCCTTAATGAAAGCTTTAGATGTCGCCAAGCAGATGCATGAGAAAATATTAAAATCCTTGTGGAATAGTTTATCATATAGATTTAGATTTCTCTGCCTCATTAGGTGTAAGTTAGAGGCTTTGGTTTATTGAACATTAACATCCTCTTGCATGACCATTTTCAGTGGGTAATCTAGGTGTAGAATAAGGCTGTGGATGGAAAGTGTTAATTATGATATGAATGAACCCTAAATCAGTTAAGATTTGAACTTCCCTAAAAATGTTAGTTTTGGTTAAAAAAAGGAATGATATAGATGTGATCATTTAAATTCTCATGTTAAAAGTTTTATGATTACTATTGTGAAGCTTTTTAAGCTTGTCTTAAATTTCCTCTTTGTTTTGGCATTGAGGAGCTAGCCATTTTTTGTCCGGATTACGTTTGTCATATTGGATTGTCACCATATTAAAGTCCATTGTGTGGACCTGACTCCTTCATGTATGTCCAAATTAAGATGTAAGTTAGGTTTGGAGTAAGGTGAGGCGAAGTCTATTCTTTGGTACAAAATCTCTAGATTGGCTGGTATTGAATTTTTTGAGATTTGACTAAAAACTTTATCATGGTTTGGTATGTCTGAAAGATGCAATTATTTGAGTTATCCTTTGTCAATGGTTATTTTGTGCTGTCCAACATTTGCTTGCAGTTTTGGGTTTAATAAAGCATATATGGAATGCAAGCCCTAACTTTTGGGTTAGGGATGAAAGCTTCTTAATCCAAATTTCATGGCATAACATACTTGATTCCCTTTGTATATTGTTTTGGTGGATGGCATATTTAATCCTAAAAAAACACCATTCGTCAGAGACTAAATTTTCTTGCTAATAAATAAGCTTTTTGGTGATGCATGCAACATCGATGATATCAATTAGTTGCATGCAAGTTTTCTATCTAGTTCACGTTCCAAGTAAATCCTGATTATTAACTTTTTAGAAAGTGGTAAGGCACCTTGAAAGTAAGTTATATAGGGAAAGTAAAGGCTTCTATCAACATTAATGTAGGAGGATCCTCTAATTATAATCTTTTATTTTCTTTTTCTTTAAATAGAAAATAAAGAATATTAGAACGGGGTGGTGATATCTCACTTCAGCTTGTTGGTATAATGGCTTGCTAGTGTTTGTTGTGCTTATTTAGCAAGTTAATGGCATAATGTTACATGTATTTTCGAGCACATATATTCTATGCCGTTATAGTCTTTATTCTTTGGATATTGTTTAGTAATTTTTAGCAAGTTGTCATAGTAGACTTAACTGATAAAGCTTGTTAGGGTGAAAATTATTATTAGAGGCATCTTCTTCAAGGATATGCTAAAGGAGAAGTGCTTGTGCTAGATAAGCTTGCATGCCGATAATACAATATAATTTTTGCCAATGAGAGGTCTCAAGTTGTCACCTGGATGCATAAATCTCAGGTTTTATGTTACTTTTGTGTTACAAAGGAGTGCAGCTTTGGTCATGAAATATCCATAAACAATTGATATTGAAGAATAAGTGTTGACATAGATGTTAGAAATTAGACTAAGCATATTCTTCTTTTTGCTGCCTGCCTAAGTTGCATGGGTATGGTTATGGGTGCTGGTACGGCTACGGGTGCTAGTACAGATACGGGACACGACAAATTTGGAAAAAGTAGGGTACTAGGACGCATCTTTAAATATGTATGTTATGTACATTTATATGTATTAGAATTAATAATTTACTTAAGGTCAATATTATTTTTTCATTTACATAAGATCAATATATTAGAAATAGATGTGAAGTGTAGAATATACATTCAAGAAGTATATGAGGAGTGTCTTAAATTAAAACATGTGGTATATAATTGAGTATAAGCTTGAACAGACGTGTGCGTAGTATAAGCTTGAACAGACGTGTGCGTAGTATAAGCTTGAACAAACGTGTGCATATATTCAAGAAGTGTCCATGAAGTTTGGGTATGGGTATGGGTACGTGTCAGGTATGGGGTACGGCTTCCAAATAGAAGTACCCAGGTAACATAGCTGCCTGCATTATGTCATACTGGGCTTGAAATATATATATCTATTTATACCAAATAGGAGAATGAAATTCTATAAACTAAGTTTCTTAGTATGGGGGGTCAAACAGCCACCAGATTGCTAGTGTTCAGTTGCAGAAACCATCAAAGTAGTACAATACATCTTCAGTTAGTCAGATCTATATATTGTCTCCTTTCCTAATAGTTCTGAGTTCAGGATCTTTATTGAATTGTTGCACACATACTTTTCATGTGATTTTTGACTATGAGGTTGTAGGTTTTGCTGAACGAATATTCATTCTTTTCATTAGTTTGAGTAAGAAAATTTGCAGTTTGTACAAAAGGTTCTCTTTGTTGTTAATAAGTTGATTTCTATGACTTTTTTCATATCCCTCACCATATTTTGCTTGCATGACTGAAAGCCCTTGTTTCTGGGGTATGACAGTCATACATTTATTGTTGCATTCAGAGGATCAGGTTATGATTTGTGGTTTTCATGAACTTTAAGTGATACATGTTTTTTAGGACAATTCTAGTTGTTTTATTTTGGACATATTGACAAAAAATGTGAGCTTGCATTTGAAAAATGTTGGCATTTGAGATATATTACTGACATTCAGAAACTCTGGCACTGAGGCTTATATTCTGCCTAAATTTAATGGTTTGATATTCTGCATCAGTTGCAATGTCTACAGAATCGCTATAATAATATATGAACTGTATAGACTAACTGCCATTTTTGGCAGTTTCGACCTAGTGGCAATTTAGTGCTCATACTTCAATATTCGCAATTTTCATGGGTATAACCTACATTTTTTGTCCATGTTGACCCAATAGCAATTAAGTGTGGACTATGAAATTCACGATCTTTAGCAGTTATAACACACTTATTGTCCATTTTAATGCATAACAATTAGTCCGTGTATTATGATGTTTGTTATTTTCATGGACTATATAACCCATGATTTCTCCCGTTTTTGTATGTTTCAATTTAATGGCAATTACTACGCATACCTGAAATTTTGCTATTTGCATAGAACCAATGATTTTTGTTCACTTTTGTCCATCTCTACCGAATGACAATTAGTACACTAACTTTAAAATTCATCTTTTTCATAGGGTATAACCTACAATTTTCGTTCATATTTGACTGTCTTGGCCCATTGATAATTTAATGCATAGGCTTCAAAATTCATGACTTTCATGGGCTAGAATCCACTTTTTTGTTCATTTTTTCTGTTTCAACCTAATGAAAATTAGTGCATGTACTTCGAAATTCTTGAGTTTCACGGGCTCTAACTCACGATTTTCGTTCATATTTGTTTGTTTTGGCTCATTGGTAATTTAATGCGCAGACTTCAAAATTCATGATTTTCGTGTTGTACAACCCACAATTTTCTTTCCATTTTTGTTAGGTCCATGGACTACAAAAGTAATGATTTTCATGAGTGAACGCACAATTTCTATCCATTTTTGTTTGTGTCGACTCAATATCAATTCATAGGCATACTTCAAATTTGCGATTTTCATGAGTTGTAACACACGATTTCTGTCCTTTTGTGTTAGTTTAGATCCAGTGGTCAAGTGCAAGAGCTTCAAAGGTCACTATATTTATGGTTGTAACCTAAGATTCCCATCAACTTTTTCCTTTGCGACCCAATGACAATTAGCATGCAGACTTCAATATTTGAGTTTTCACGGGCTATAACCACGTTTTTGTTTATTTTTTTACCTTTTTGATCCAATGGAAATTTAGTGTGCGAACTTCAAGATTTGCGATTTTCATATGCTATAACCTTTGATTTTTGTTCATGCTTTGTCCACTTCGACTTAATGTTGACTAGTGCATAAACTTTAATATTCACGATTTTGCTAGCTAACTCACGATTTTCTCCTTTTTGCCCGTTTTGATCCAATAGCAATTAAGTGCACGAACTTCGAACTTTGCGATTTTCATAAGCAACCCACAATTTATGTCTATTTTTGTCCATTTCAGCCTAATGGCAATTAGTACACGGACTTGAAAATTCGTAATTTTCATGGGCTATAATTCACGAATTTTGTTCTTTTTTATGCGTTTTGACTCAATAATAGTTAAGTGTGGTCTTCAAAATTTATGGTTTTCATAGCTATAATAGTATAACTCACAATTTTTGTTCATTTTTGTTCGTTTCTGTGTAATGACCATTAGTATGCATGCTTCAAAATTCACAATTTTTTGGGCTACCCAGGATTTTTGTCCTTTTTGACACAATGTCAATTAGTATTCAGACTTTAAAATTCACGAGGCTATAACTTTCTGTATTTGTCCACTTTTGTCCTTTTTTGATCCAATGGCAATTTATTGCACATACTTCGAAATTCGCGTTTTTAATGGACTATAATCCTAGCTTTTTGTCCATTTGTGTTCGTTTCTACCTAAATGCAAGTAGTACATGCATTTTAAAATTCACAATTTTCATGGGCTATATATATAACCTACGACTTTCTTCCATATTCATCTGTTTCGACCTAATGATAACTAAGTTTAAACTTCATAATTCGCTATTTTCATAAACTATAACATACGATTTTTTTCATTTCAATCCAAAGACAATTATTACACATTTAAAAATTCGTGATTTTCATGTGCTATCAAACAACTTTTTTTTCCATTTTGTTCGTTTTGATCTAATAGGTGTGTGGACTTTAAAATTTTGTAATTTCATGAGCTATAATCAATGAGCTTTGTTCATTTTTGTCTGTTTCGAGCCAATAGCAGCTAAATACGCAAACTTCAAAATTGACGATTTTCATGGGCTATGATGCACAAATTCTGTTCATTTCTGTATGTTTTGACCCTATGGTAGTTAAGTGCACGTATTTCAAAATTCACGCTTTTATTCGTCCACATTTATTTGTTTCGATCTAATGACAATTAGTATGCATATTCAAAATTTTGTGAGTTTTATGGGATATAAGTACAACCCGCAATTTTTGTTGAAACCTTGTGGCAATTTGGTGCGCAACCTCAAATTAGTGAGTTTATAAAACCACGATATTTATAATGGTGTGCAGACTTCAAAATTCGGGATTTTAATGAGTTTATAAAACCACGATATTTATCCGTTTTTGTCAGATGGCATTTCATTACCATACTTTAAAATCCACAATGCTTATTGGTTACAAATCATGCCGTTTGTCCATTTTTGTTCATTTCGACGATAGTTAGTACGTATACATAAAAGCACGGTGTTCATGAGCTATATAATCCACGATATTTGTCTTTTTTGTTCTGTTTCGATCCAATAGCAATTAAGTGGGGCAGTCAATGACAATCAAGTGGGCGGGTGTCAAAATTCGCAATTTTCATAGGCTTACCCATTATTTTCATCGATTTTTGTCTATTTCGACCAAATGACTGGTAGTACACAAAATTTAAAATTTGTGATTTTAATGGGCTAACTTGCGAATTTTAATGGCTAATCCATAATTTTTGTTCATTTCTTGTTTGTTTTGATCCAATGATAATTTAGTGCATGAACTTCAAAATTATGTTTTTATGGGCTATAGCCTACAAATTTTGTCCATGTTTGTCCGTTTTCAATCAATGGCAATTAAGCGTGCAGTTTCAAAATTTGTCATTTTCAAGGGTTATAATCCACGATTTTTGTCTGTTGTGACCTAGTGGTGATTGGTATGCATATTTCAAAATTCACAGTTTTTATTGGCTAACCCATAATTTCATTCATATTTGTTTGATTCGACCTAATGGCAATTTAGTGTGCAAACATCAAAATTTGTGATTGTTATGGGCTATAAGTCACGATTTTTGTCCATTTTGTCCATTTTTTAGTAATAGCAATTAAGTCTACGGATTGCAAAATTCGCTATTTTCACAAGCTATAATAACCCACAATTTAATCCATTTTTGTTCATTTCGACCCTATTGTAATTAGTACTTGTATTTCGACATTTGTGATTTTCATTGGCTATACCGGTATAACCATTGAATTTTGTCTATTTTTGCTTGTTTTAACCCATGGCAATTAAGTGCACAGACTTCAAGATTCGTGATTTTTAGAGGCGATAAATAACAATTTTTGTCTATTTCAATCTGATGACAACTTAGTGGGCAGACTTAAAAACTTGCGATTTTCCCACTATTTTTGACCGTTTTTGCCCGTTCCAATTCATTTGCAATTTAGTGTGCAAACTTCAAAATTTATGATTTTCATGGGTTATAACCTTGAATTTTCCCCCGGTTTATTGTTTCAACTCAATGCAATAAGTACGCATACTTTAAAAAATTCACAATTTTTATGGGCTATAACTTAAAATTCACAATTTTCATGGGCTATAACTGATGATTTTATATTTACATTATCTTTTTCAGTTCCTTAGAGCATGATTTTTGTTAACCTTTTCTTATTCTACCTGAATCTAAATTCTATGATTTTATGTTATGCATCAGCTGTATAGTCTGACAAATTACTGTCATACCATATCAGTTTAACTTGGTTAGTTTCGAAAAGAGTGTGGTTTATGAAGTCTCATGTAAGTGCATGTCCTGAGAGAGTTTGTTTATCTCCTTACTGTTTTAGATTTAAGTTACACTTTTCTAGTTCTTTGGAGCATTATTTGTGAACCTCTTTATGGTTTAATGTCTTGGTAGAGGTGGTTAGACTCATCATTTCTTTAGATTCTAAAAACTTGAGCCAAAGGCAGTTTTTTCAATCATCAAAACTAGAATTAACTTTTCTAATTGGCATATTTTTGCTTGGATGTAATAATGCACCATATTTTTCGGTTCATTGAAAATCATTGAGTCCATGAAACTCCGGAGATTTTTAAATTTGTCAGATTCTACAAAATGTTTATGATTTTAATTCTTCGGTTCATCTGCAGTTTCCACAATAAAAAAATCATTATTTGACATGTTACAGTTTGCTGGGACAATCTCCATGCAGCTATCAGTTCACGTAGTCTCATGCCAGTTAATGTGGCTCCCAAGTTACAAGTTTCATGTACCAGATAATGATGTGCAGTTCTAAATTTGGCCTGTTCCATGTTGTGTATGCAACAGCATACCCTTGTTACATCTGTTCCTCCTCCAGATATTTTACTAGAGCTTATTTATTATTTATTTTTTTTATTTTTAATGTTTTTGGAGTTTGATTCAGTTGCACTTCGAATTTCACAGGAAACGTTTATTCAGCATGATTAATGATTTGCCAACTGTTTATGAAGTGGTATCTGATAGAAAGCAGGGAAGAGAAAAGTCGGGCATGGATAGCGGAAGTAAATCAAAACCGTCCACAAAGGTTAGATACTTAACTGATCGTATACACTGTTTGCTTTTTTTTTCTTGGGCTCCTACTTACCTACATAACTGCTAACTCTATGCTATTTTTAAGTAATCCCTGTTCTACGGTTCTACCTTATTTAAAAAAACATAAAACACTGAGAATTCCCCAAAAAAGGTTTTTTTTTTCTTGGTTCCTGGGCACTTAGAGATTTTGGACAGGAACGAATTTACATAGTTTATTCTATAATAGAAAAATAAAAGATATGTTTAACTAAATTGGAGGGTAAACAAATATGAACATTTTGCCATAAATTTGAGAGATATATAGGTTATTAAAAAAAAACTTCCATTTACTCATCTCGTGACTTTTGGGTTTAAACTCATGTACAGAGGTCAAGTGACGGTCAAATAAAGAACAACTCAAAACCGGTTGATGAGGCTTATCCTGAGGACGAAGATGAACACAGCGAAACTCTCTGTGGGAGTTGTGGCGGCAACTATAATGCAAACGAGTTCTGGATCGGGTGTGATATATGCGAGAGGTGGTTTCATGGGAAATGTGTGAAGATAACCCCGGCCAGAGCTGAGAGCATTAAGCACTACAAATGCCCTCTCTGTAGCTCAAAGAAAAGCAGGCAGTAAACCGTATCTTAACTTAACAGGCTGTTTTATTCTTGCGTTTTATTTTTATTTTTAACAGTTCCTTAGTGTTAGGTTGTCGAAGTTTTCCCTTCTCATAGTTTTCCATGTTGATATATAAGATGTTTTTTAGTGTAAGAACTCGATGTTTATTGTATATCTGCAACTTGCGCCCTTCATGGTTTTCGCCTTCGAACCTTATTTTGTCATTTTGAAGTTCGTTAGCTTTACATGTATGACTAATGCCCAAATCTTAGTAGCGTAGCGGCAGTGGAATCAACACTGCGAATGCAGAACAATAGAAGCTGTGGAGTTCAAGAGAAACCTTTTCATAATGTTGCGTGTTTTGTATGTTTTGGTCATTGCATTGTCCTATTCAAGAGAAATCAAGTTTTTTTTAAAAAAAAATTGTTTTCTTCAGGCATCTACAAGACACGTAAATCATGACAAGTTTCCATCCCAGCTTAGATGATGTACATTTGCTAAATAATTTCTCACTCCTATTTTGTATATAAATGACTTGAGTAATGTTTGAATAGCTTGTGGCTTTGAGGTTTCTATATCACAAGAAGGGATTCACTTAGCGCAATACAAATATGCTTTATCTATTTGTGCGCTATTTAAAAAAAAAAACGAATCAAACTGCAAGATGACAATGGACAATTATTATTAGACCAAAAGGATCCACCCCCACCCCAACACACACACACACACACACAAAACGTCTTTAAAATAGGAACATTTTGTAGAAACCCTATTTGATTTCCAATTTATACATAAATCATGTTTAAACCGTTTTTTATTGCAATAAACCATTTGAAATCCACTTTTTTTAGTTCTTTTTTTCAGCAACTGGTTACACTTGGCCTCCGTCAGATATCATATCTCTGATATATTTGGTATTTGACAACTAATTATTACATAAAACACCTTGCCTCCATTAAAGATCATAATATGCTTGGTATTTGACAACTAATTATTGCATAAAAGACGAAAAGAATTGACTTAAAAAGTGAGTCCAAATGGTTACTACCCGATCAATTTGTAAACCAACTTTGAGATTTTCATTGTAAATCCTCCCCCCACGAGCAAATAAATATGCATATTATTTCCTTGCTAGGCGCCATTCTAACAAGCGCCAGCGTTTAGTACCCACGCGTCCATCACGAGACCTGCCGGTTCTGAGCTTCAAGTGATCTTCCACGTGTTTCCACCTCCCGGCATGATTGGTTTTTGTTTTTCCCACGTTAAACATGATGATATAATTGATGTGCGGACGCGGAAATTCAATTAATTAAGTGATGGTGACTTTGGGCTGCAGTAGCCTCATTAGGTGGATCTTTAACAATTATGTGGTCGTGCTATTAGTCAAGTGGGGCCTACCCTAGTCACATGAGATTTAACTTGGTCTCAATCTTCATGGACCCAAGCCGACCCCACCTAGAAGACATTTTTGCGTGAAAATGACCGCCTATCATTAACTATTAGGGGCCGTTTGGTTGGCATTTTTTGCCCTTGTAAAACTATCAAAACTGACAAAAGCTATCGGTTTTGACAGCTTTACTCGCAAAAACGCTCATTTTTGAGCGTTTTTGCAAGTAAAGCTGTCAAAACTGACAGCTTTTGTCAGTTTTGACGGCTTTACAAGGGCAAAAAATGCCAACCAAACAGCCCCTTAGAGGTTTTCTAGGGCATCATAAAATACTTTTATTTAAAAATTAATATAAGCTTTTTCATTAAGTTGTTAGGAACAATTGTGTCAATACTCCAAATATGAAAACTCAACGGGCACGCATTATTGCTCACATGTTTTAGTTTTTAAAATGTCTATTTAATGTGGTCCAGCCCCTCCAGCTCACAAAGCATCTAGAGGGATAAATATTTATATAGGTTCCTTTCTTTATACCCCTTAAATCTCAAATTAACTCCCTCCTTATTATCTACCCGCCAAAATGCGCCCCCCCCCCTCCCCCCCCCCCAAAAAAAAAAAAAAAAATAAATCCTTCATGATAATGCCCTAAACTCCTCGCATCCAACTCCGAAAGTTAATTAACCTCCCAAAAAATTCCCAATCCGAAGAGACAACTCCCCTCTAAAACCATGGTGGGGTTTTGGAGAAATTGATGATTTAAGGATATCAAATTAAATCTCACCTTGGTGAGGGTTAGGGCGTGTTTGGGAGTCGTTGAAGGGAGCGTAGCGCGGATTTTTTGTAGCGGACGAGGGAGGGAGT